AGCATAGCAAAGGAATTTGGATCAGTTTAGTAATTATTCCTGTTAGTCTAGTTCAAAGTTGTTTTGCTTTTAATGGTTTAGGAGACTCACTTGAATACTTTGATTCTAGCAATAAAAGTTCTAATGGGAAAAGTAGGTGAATGTGATGTAATGTTTAGCCTATTAAAACAGCTATATCCAAAGGCTGTGCAGAGTAAATTCTTGCCAGGAACTCTGAATAAGGGCAGGTCAGTGGGGAGGTAAGCAGGAAAAAACAAGAGCGCTAAAGCACTCGGGGAGAGACCTCTCCTTCTCCAAATTAGGCCCCATGATTATAACGGACATTTGTTTTTGCTTTTATACATGGAAAGAGGGAAAGTTCCCCCTCCAAAATCTTCCTGTGTGCTTTCACGATGCTAAGGAACCCCTAGGGTGTTAGGGTTCCCCAGAGAAACAGAATCAACAGAGGAAACCCACAAGCACACATGCATGCATAGGGGACACATTACACATGAAGGGATTCACTAAGAAGAATTGGTGCACACACTTGTGAAGGTGAAGTCCCACAACTTGCCCTCTACACCCAGGAGCCAGGGGCCTTGTGGTGTAAGTCTCAAGGTAGGGCAGGAAGAGATGGATGTCCCAGCTGCTGCAGGCAAGGAAAAAATAGAGGGGGTGGCATTTCCCTTTCCTCATCCTTTTCCTCTCTTCAGGTCCTGAAGGGGTGAGAAGAAGGGTTGGAAAGGGCCTTCTGCCTGGCTGAGACCAACTCTTCAAAGGGCTGGTCTCATTTGGGAATATATGCATGGACACCCAAAGCAGTGTTCACCAAAATTGGGGCACCCTATGATCCAGGCAAGTGTGCACACAAAATCAACCATCGTGCCAAGACTTTGCAGTGGAGCAGGGATATTAGACTACATTTTTACAAGTGTCCATGCTGAATGACCATCTGCTTCCCCCATCCACTGTGGACTGCTACTGTGTTATAACTGAAATGAACCACTGGAAAAATGACACGCAAAGCACAAAGCAAAGGCACACAAAACAGAAGCCTCCACTCTTCTATTATTCAATTCAGTCCCTGTCAAATTGCAGTGGAGAAGTTCTCACCACTCTCAATGCTCATCTTGCTTCAGATTGTAACAAGAATGTGAAGAGGCACAGGTCCACGAGTCACACTGAGTACACGGACCAGGAGTATTCTCAGGTTACCAGTAATTGTTTGAGGGTGTTCTTCTGAGCTAAGTTGGTCTCATAAACCTGAGTTTTGAGCTTCATCTAGAACTTCTGGGACATTGACTCTTACTTTCCTGCCCAGAAGCTGCCTTGGACTGTGCAGGCATGGTTAGATAATGGCTAACACCGAGGAAATGAAACCCAAGGATGCTAAAGGGTAAGCAAGATCTACTCTTACATTATGCAGAAATATCAACCTACACATTAAACTTTTTGCTTAAACCAGAATTTATCTAGCTTTTAAATGCCTGCAGGAAAGACAGTCCTATGTAATAGTTTGTAATTATATTTTACACTTCCCCACAAACTCTCAATATCTTCTCTTTGTTGGTCATCTTTCTGAAACACAGATCTGTGAATGCTACACCTCTAGGTATGAAAACCTTGACTTCTCAGTGCCCTCCATACAAAGTTCAAGCATTTCAAACTATCTTTCACAGTTAGGCCCTTTTCCACTTTTTCAGCCCCATTTCTTGCTAGCCTCATTCTCAGGCACACACCCCATGCTTCACCAGGACCGTTCCACACTTTTATGGGTGTTACAGATTTTCTCTGTTGTCTCTGCCTGGACTGTACTTCCTCTTCTAATTTACTAAACAGAAACTTGAAAACAGAAGGTCTTCATTTCTCTTAAATGTTAAGCATTGAGTGTTACTTTCATAGAAAGGCTAATCTGAGAGTAAATTGATGCAATTGATCAAAAATGCACTTAAAGCTCAAAGCTCCTCATTTCATATTGATTCTAATATGCACCACAAAAATCTCTGACAGAAACAAGTTTAGAGAAAATGCCACTTCAAATTATTGCAAAAACGAATAAGCAAGAAATAAAGTAAATGTCCATATGTCTTAGTTACTTTTCTCTCATTGCTGAGACAAAATATCTGACACCCAGAATTAAGGAAGGAAAGGTTAATTTAGCTTACACTTTGTGGAGGTTTCAGTCCATACTCAGGTGGCTCCAAGGCAGAGTGGCACATGGCAGAGGGGCAATGGTTCATGGTGGTGGAAGACAGCAAAGCAACAAGAGCAAAAAGGAGGAGTGGCAGAGAGAAAGCCTCTTTGCCTCCCTTACATTGTATGCAAACTACCCGACGCTGGGCAGATGTAGCACTCACACCCATAATCCAGCATTGGACCATGGATCAATCAAAAACTCTAGGAGCCCATCCCATGATTGCGTGAGGCTTTGGGGGGACATCCAGACATAAACCATAACCATACAAAAACATGTACATGAATGACCATAGCAGCATTACTTGTGACAGCCAAAAATGGAAACAACACAAATGTTCAACTAGTAAACTCATAAACTGAGGTACATCCATAGAATGGGAGATTATTGAGCCATAAAGAAAATGAAATATGATATATGCTACAACGTAGATGAATGTTGAAAACTGTATGCTAAGAAAATCAGATGTGAAATGGCAAATATTGTATGATTGTGTTTATATGAAATATCTAGAGTTTACATGTGTACAGATAGAGACTAGAGGAGGGGTTGGCAGGGCAAGGGTGAGGAGGGAGGATGCAAATAGAAATCTTTGGAAGTGGTAAAATGTTGTAAAATTGACTGGTAGTGGGTCCATAGCACTGTGAATATCATAAGTGCTGTTGAATTGTATATTTAAAATGGATGAACTTGATAGTAAGTGAATTGTATCTTAATAATTTTCCTTTTTGTTAAAGTTTATAGCACATTTATTTATAGTTGCCAAAACTGGAAGTAACTGAAATGTTCAGTAGGTGAGTGGATAAATAAATGGTAGTGTATCCTTACAATTGAATACATATGTCTAAGTGAAAGAAACTAACTGAAAAGGACACATAGTGCATAACTGCAACCTCCATGACATTCTTGAAAAAGCAAGAGAAATGGGACAGTACAATGATCAGTGGTTTCCAGAGATTAGTGGGGAGAAATGACGAGGTAATGAAACTATTCTGTGTGACACTGTAATGGAGGATACATGTCATTATATGTTTGTCAAAACTCACAAAGTGTACACCAGTTTGAACCCTAGTGTAAACTGTGTACCTGGAATAGTAATAAAGTGTCAGTGTGGGTCTATTGATTGTAACAAATGCACCCATCTGGTTAGGGTGCAGACAGTGGGAAGGCTGTGCTTGTATATAGTGAGAATAGCAGGGATACAGGAAATATCTGTACTTTTCACTTAGTTTTGGCATGAGCCTAAAACTCCTTTAAAAATAGTCTTTTAAGGGGAGGAGGACAAGGGGGCAGGGAAGAGTAACGGGAGGAGAAAGAGATTAATAGTCTCCATAAGGCCAAACCTCAGAGAGTAGTCCCTTGGCTCCTCTCTGGCAGAAAAATTACTTGCTCTTTTATATAAGTTCTCACAAGAACAATTATTCCTGCTTATTTTACTGTTTCTAAAGCACTGCACTGTACCTGTTTTTGAGGTCTCTTTTTGAACTATTGGCACTGGACAGGGTCTAAAGCTGTCCCCCAAGGTGGAGACGGGAAACCTTGACTCCCCCCAACTCCGGGTCAGGTTGCAGCTTCACTGATTTCCATCAAAAAAGAATTTACAGGTCATGTCAATAAGAGGCATAAAAAGATTTAGGCAGAATTTAAAAAGTACTCAAAGAAACAAGAGTGCGGGCCCTGAGGAGGCCCCTATGAGGTTTGACAAGTTTGACAAGCCAACGAGGCTTGAAAGTTTTTACGTAAACTTGGGAGTGTCCCTAAAATGGGCTATTTTGGATGTGTATTCTGGGGAGATATGTTAAAATAGAAACCATTTACACATGTTTAAGGCTGAGTTATGCTGTCCTCTCAATAGTGTGATTCCTGAAGATGGAGGTTGTTAGAAGGGAGTGCAGTTTAAGGGTGCGAGGCGGGAGCCCAGAGCTCAGTCCACAGGCTCACTGTCTATAAGGCCCTTAGGGATTTTTCCTAGAGGAGAGGGGAAAAAAATTTAAATAATTTTTGTGTCCTGAAGCTGCAGTTTTTCTTTAAAAGTACAATTTTTATATTACACTTTTTCTTGTCTCCTTCCTCCTGATCATTATTTCCTTGCCTCATCTCACTATGACTTGCCTGAGGGCAGCCGCGATGTCCTGTTTTGTGATAGTCCTAGAAGTGCTATGCAGCAGAGGTGAAATGTGCAGAGGAGGTCTTACAGTTACTGTTTTAAGATTTTACCTCAGATTCTGATCTTCCTCAGCCTTCTGGGGATCCTGAAGACAGCCTCTTCCAAGTGGTTCATCCCATGACACAAGTCAGAAAGAGAGGGAGAGAGAATTCAGGAAAGAGCCCAGGACACTGAGAACACAGGACCCCTAAACTAAGGACTTACCTATATGGAGAATCCTCACACAGCTGCATATTTCTCTAGCAGAGCTTTGGACAGTCCTCCTCCTTGGGGACAGTATGAGCAAGTGAAGGGGGAAATTCAGGACCAGACACAGGTCACCTGGGAGAGTCCATGGGGTGGTGATTTTCTCCAGAGCACCAGAAACCACCTCCACCAGCTCCCACTGGCTGCATGCAATGCCTACATTACTGCTTAGCTAGACACAAATGTGTGAGATGTATTTCTGGGAGAGAGGACATTTTAAACTTTATCATTTCCTTAGACCCAACTGCAAGTCATATGTAGTTCAGAGGACGATAGAGAGAAACTATAAAGACACTGATGCTAAGAGTGGAAAGGCAGTTTCCAGAGAGGTGACAGAGCACTGAAAACAACTTTTCTTTACTTCCCAGATTTGCCACCATTTAATGTACAAAGTGAATACTCTTAACTGCACAATTCCTTTCATTATTGGAATTTATTGTGGGTTTTAACTCCAGGTACACATACACATGTAAGGACATCCAGCCAGTGACATCACGTTAAAGGAGAACAGCTTGACCTTTGACCATCTTATTGAAGAATCCTTAATTCAGATTGAAAAGCTGGGGAAAGAGGCAGGGACGCCTTGGGCGAGGAGTGTGTGTTCCAGCCATTTTGCAGTTAGTAAATGTGGGGGACAGGGCTGGACCTCTCCTCTTCGCATGTGGTTTTTGAACGGTATGGGACTTGTTTCTGTAGCCTCCTTAGCCGAGATCCTTAAGGGCAGAGCCTGGGACCTGCTGATGTCTGAGTTGCCTTACAACCAGTAAAAAGTTGTAAAATAAAACTTGAGCTGAAGTTTCCTGTCAAGGAGAAGAGGAAGTGGCTGTCTTGGCAGATTTTGTCCTCTTGGCAGATTTTGTCCTCTTGGCAGATTTTGTCCTCTAGGTAGGTTCCCTGCTCCTGCATAACTGAGAGGAGACATTGCCTCGCTGGGAGGCTCTGATCCACAAGGAGGCCAAGTGAGAGTGCTAGATGTAGATGTGGTTTAAGAAAGTCATGAGACATCAGGGGACAGTTTAGAGGACAGCTGGTAGGAGGGTAAAGACTTTTGAAAGAGAGGGATAGGAAGAGGGGTGGTGTGTGGGATTTGGGGATTGTTTGAACCTGATGGGAGGAATCAGAATAACTGTGACAGCTGATTTTGGACATTTGCAGGGTTACTGTATAGAGCAAATCTTCTCAACTTTTGTTCATGGCGAGACCCTCATAGAAAAATACCAAGTTACATGTCCCACAGGGCAGTCAGTGAGGCCGCACAAGCCTAGGTTCCACCCTGACGCTTCGACACACGAGGTCCCACCTGCTACAAGGACTGAGGGGATCAATTGCTTAGCACTGTATCCTATCCCTGCTTTGGGGAATCATATATTTCTTATCAAACTGATGTGAAGGGCAGGGACTGTTTTCATCTTAGAAGAAGTGGGATCAAAATAATAAATGAAGAGTTGAACTGTAAGGAAGAAATGATTGATTCTTGGATTTGAAAATACTGATTTGTCAGAGGATCTGTGTGTTTTTGTGTATGCAGCATGTTCATTTAGCTTTTGTACTGTTTGTTTCACTAGGTCTAGGTACAGGTGAACATTCTGGGTATTAAGCCAGACTTCTGAGGCAGTACAATTGATGGGATCCAAGTGAAGAGTTCCAATTTGTATGCACAGCTAAATTAGATAGAAATTAATAGACAGAGAGGGATGTGGCCCTTGAGGAAGTTACATATAAGCGTGCCTAGAGATAAATGTTAGCTTGAGATTATATTGATTAGCACCATCTGGTCCAGTGAGGCATTAGATGCCCAGGTGGGTGACAAGTACATCTGGACCCATCCCTTTCCAGAAATGCCTGTGTTCATTCCGTGTACTGTACCCTTGCAACATGCCTCACTTTCCTATTGGGTCAATATTAGCTAAGTGACTACACTTGTAATCCTATAGGTTGATTGTAGTTTGACCCATGTTGTACCCATATTGAAATACTGCTGTATTAAAGCAGAACTTGGAAACCTAGCCTTTCTCTCCCTCTGTAAAATCTTCCCAGCTCGGGAGAGCAACTCCTTGGGTAGCCCCTCCCTCAGGAACATGGACTTGCACTTTCTCACGAGGTCCTGTGCTTTCCTCACTGATAAGGGAGACACTTCAGGCAGTTCACTCACGGGAATCTGCTCCTTTAGAAGTCCAGTGCTGGGAACCAACACTGATAAAGTTAAAAACAAGCTCCACAGCATCCTAACATCCCGAGATGCATAGGATGTGTTTTCTTGGAAGGCTAAGAGAGGGTTAGCTGCTAGGATGACTAATTGCTTTTGTTCCACTTCTGTATCTCTACTTGCTTGACATCACAAATTGTATAAAAGACAGCCTCTCCTTAGTTTGGAGCCCAGCCTAGTTTGAGCATATCTCGTGGCTGGGACAGTGCACCATTAAAGTCATCCTGAAAATCCCTCCTGGTCTCTCCTGGAAATTCTGCAACAGTATAAATTACCCCTGACAAAGAGCCTTGGTAGACCCCCAGGAACAGCGCCCCCCCCCCGCCTGAAATCTAGGCGCTATTTTTCTTCTCCTTTTGTACAATAAACTCTCTTAACTTCCTCCTTGGGTTTGCGACTTCATTGCTTCATGTTATGTAACCCCGAATTTGGCACATCTGACATCTAATAGGTTGGGAGTTTTTTTTCCCATATCACAATGGTAAAGGGGGACCCAGATTAAATCTGAGTCACAGATAGAACAAAAAGAACACCTCGGAGGTAAGCACATGATGTGAAGGAAGAGTGAAGTTGGGAAATGGAAAAGTGAGATAGGCCAGAGGGGTCTGCTGTGCTGGGGGGGGGAGGGGCACCGAGCACACTCTCCTCGGGTGTCCCCTCCCCCACCTGCAAACCCCCTTTGTGACTCCCATCCTCTGTGATGCAGGCAGGAGTATATAGTCAAGCTCTTGCACCCTCAGAACTCAGTTGCCTCAGGCAGCCTTGCGATTCAGATGGAGAATGTTCTCTATTTTGTTGAATAGCTATATGGAGCCATGGCTGAGCTATGGCTCAACTTTCTTAGATGCAGACCCCAACAGTACCTTTCTGAGTGCTGTGGGGTTGCTGCTTCTGCCCCTGTGCTATCTGTTGCTGAAACCATTTTTACCAACCTTCTGGGACCAAGAGGATATCCCAAAGGTAAGGACACATAGATCAATCCCTGAGAGATTCTTTGCTGTTGTTTCCCATTTCTTTCTGCCCATTAGTAAATGAGCTTTGTTGACTCAGGAGACAAGTGAGATGGGAGGTCTGAAGAGAAGACAGAGAAACCCTCATTAGCAGAAGAGGTCAGGCCAGGGGAGGAGATGAGGGAGGACTAATATTTCCATCTGAAGCTCACACACTACCTCTCTGGGTGCAGCAGAAGGTTCCAGGCTAAGATCCCAAGCAGTGATTCCCTGGCCCTGGTTGGCTCACAGATTGTGTGTTCTCTGCAGAAGAACAGTCCGTCCTGATGCTTGATTGTCAGTCCCATTCCCTTGTCTGGGGTCCTTCCCCAAGCCTGTCTTCTTGGGGGGCTGATCAGGAGGAAAGCAGCACTGACCTCACAGAGCCTCTGAGCAGAGCCTGGGGCCTGAGATCTCTCCCCAAGACACAAGGTTCCCCACAAGGAGCACAGTTATCTTAGTTGCTATTCCCTCCTGGAACAAAGGATTTCTGATGCAGAAAGTAAGTGTTGATCTCCCAGACGAAATCACCCTTTGAGTTTTTCAAAGATGGAAAAATTGAAAATACCTAACCATCTTTAAAAATTAGTAAAAGGAACAAATGAGTAAAAAGTCAAATGATTTTTGGGCTCTCTTAATTAAAATAAGAGTTAAATGATTAATAAATGTCTGAGCCACTAGAGAGAGGGATGAGATAAATGAGTCCCAGCCCTTCATTCTTTTCTTTTGGTTCTCAGCTACAGCACAGAAGCAGGAGGAGGAGGAGGAGGAGAAGCACAACACTTAAAGGTATGTTTCTTCCTCTCTGACCTCACCTCCTCAAGGATGAGCCATCCCGTTCTTTCCATGAGGTTCCAGGTCCATGAGCTCTGGAGAGGTTAGTAGTCAAACATGGTCTGTCAGGGTCCAGAGGCTTCAGAGGAGAGGCCCCAGGGAGGAGTGAGAGCTGAGACACCTCTTAGAGGCCTGCTCTGCCCACTGTGGGTGTGATGCAGGGCTGGACCTGGCAGGGCTGGGAGCTGCCGAACAGGCCCCTCGTGTGAGTTGTCCAGGATTGATTTCAGGTCACCTGGGAGCCACACCTGCTGTCCCTGAAGTGGGTAAAGTGCTTCATTCCTACACACTCACACTCAGCTCTGGGGTAAACCCTGACTTCTGTTTTTATATGGTCATTTCAAGCATTACACTGGAAGAAGCACACACACACATGTGGTCACCCAATGTTACCCTTGGCCAGTAGGCTTTGTGTACTGATTACTGGGATTTCCGACTTTAACGCCCTAAGTGTTCCTCCTGCATGGACTGCTATGAGACACTTGTATTTTGACCTTCACTAGATGTCACCCCTTTTCCTGGTTTTCCAGGTTGGAGAGCAAGCCTGAAAGAAAGACAGGAGGGGAGGAAGCTGCTTTCCTTTGTGAAAAGGTAACTAGCCAATTCCTTCTTTCCTCTTCCCTTTCCCTACATGTTCTATGAGTCCCATGGATTCAGTGCTGGTCAAGGTTGCCACAAGTATGTGAATGGAGGCTTGGAGAGAAGCTACGGAGTGCTGTGACATCATAGGGCTGTGCTTTGTGATGTCATGGCTCTGTGGCAGTGGAAAGGAAGTAGAAAGTGTCAGAGCCCCACCCCCTCAGGACATCAGACCTTCCTTCCCTTGTGCTGGTCCTGGCTACAGCTTTGTACTTTCTATCTCCTGCAGCCCCCTGGACCAGCATCCTGATATCATCCACTTCCGACAACTGCTGTGTCCAGACCCCCTCTGTGACATCTGTAACACCACAACAGCTAAAGTCAGTCGAATGTTCTTTCAGGCATCCCTGGAAGATGCTGCTCATACTGCGACCTACTTGACTTCCACAGATTCTGACTCATCAAGCACACAGTCCTTTGCCATCTCACCAGTCCTTCCAGGACACCAAATTCCAGGCCCTGTGCCTGAACCTTCTCCACCTCTGCCCTCTGTTCTCCCACCTAACCTGGTAACCTCTTTTGTAGACTCACTGTCACCTGTGCCACTGGGTGACTGTCAGCATGCAGAGCCTACTCCTCCCTTAGACTCCAAATCCCCAGTGGACCATTCTCCACCAGAGCCACTTTCCTGTCCCACTTCCCTGCTATACTGCACTCAGGAAGGAAAACTGATTCTTCAATCAAAAAGCACCTCGTCAGTTAATGACAGTGCTGGTAGGTTCTCCACTAACCACCTTTATCCCATGGAAGCCTCTCTTCATCACAGTGAAGGTTATCTTGTAGAGCCTGGAAACCTCAAGTTTCTCAGCCCTGAGAGCTGGGCCCTCCTGGAAAGACAAATTAAAAAGAAAGGTGATTTGCTGATGGGCAAAGGTCAGGGAAAGGGAACAGAATCTTTTCCAAAGCAACATCAGCCAGATTCCCCACTAAATTTTCCATGGAAAAGATCAGAGTCATCTGCTGATCAGTGGCATTCTGCACGCCCCCTTCCTATTTGGAGCAGTGAAGGCAAACCAGAGGAGCTGCTCACACATCTGAAGCCCCCAGGTCTTAAGACCTTGGGGGATCATTTAGAGCAAAAATATAGCCAGTTCTTCTGGGGTCTTCCATCTCTACACAGTGAGTCACTGAACTCCACTGTACCTGCCTCAGGCGACTGTTCTTCAAGTTTTATTTGCTTTAATACGATCTGCAGCACCTCCACAGCCCATGAATCTCCAGTCCCTCCACATCCTTCACCTCTATCCTTGCCCGAGGCCCAACCTCAACCCTTGTCCCAAATTCTGCCCCAATCTCACTTCCCTGATACCCTTCCTGTGCAGACCCAGGCCCAGTGTCAGTCCCCACCTTTAAGTCTGTTACCTTCTACTCAGTGCCAGCCTAGAAGCTGTGGAGTGTGTTTTCACGGCACCCAGGGTGAGATACAGTCCCTTACACCAGCTGAAATTCAACATCTGGAAGGTAACGTACTGCAGAAAGTACAGGAGAGTGTGTGGGGCCTACCCTATGTGGTCCAAAGATCTCGGGAAGACTTCTGTCCTCCAGCTCCCAAGCTTTCACTGATTCGCCAGGCCTCCAAGGCCCATATGCCAGTTTCCATCTTACCTGGAGATTTCCCCTGCAGCAGTGAGCTGCGAAAGAAACTAGAGCACCACCTTCGGAAGAGGCTCATTCAACACCGCTGGGGCCTGCCCCGAAGAGTCCTTGAGTCGCTATCCATGATGCAACCCCGGAGTCAGGTCCCTCAGGCCTCTGAGTCAAAAGAAAGTTATGGGCTTTCTTGGATCTCTTTGTATAAGGGTCAGAGCAGCAAGGACTTGAGCCAGTCTGGAACCGTCTATGAGAGGAGTTCAGAAGTGCTGCCTTTAGAGGAAGGGGTGGGGAATAACGAGGGTCAGAGCCCAGCGAGTGGCCCCCAAAACCTGTTGAGTGCCCATGACAGGATCACAGATAGTGCTCAGGGCTCTTACTCAGAGGAAGCCCTGGAAAGTGAAGCGGGGGAACATTCAGAGTCCTCAAATGTGAGTGTACACCAGAAACACCTTGAAAATGCCCTGAAAGTACACTTAAGTAAGAAGTTTGAGGAAATTCATGAGGGCCAGATCCCTGATGCTGTGAATAAATCATGGCATTCCATCAACCTGACCCTTCCCTTTCCTGAGAAATCTCCCAGCCAAATAAAAGGCAGAGATAGAACACCACTGGTGGGTAAGGACAGCTACGTGGACACCTCCCAAGATATTTCCTTCCTTAGTTCCAGCAAACAAAAGATGATGGAAGAGCATATTCTAACTTTTCGTAGGAGAATGATGTGGGGCCTTCCTCACAAAGTCCAGGAATCCATAGAAATCTCCAACATAAAGGAGGACCTGCACCCGGCTCTTTCTCATTCTAAATCTCCCTTCTCAGATACCTATATTTCTGACTTGGATTCTAAAACGGGGGTCTTCAAGACCCTTAGAAGAAGTTCTAATGCTTCGCAAGCACACAAAGTGGAAACAAATTCAGTTGTGGGTCTTCCTCACTCTGCTACCTCACATGCGGGCATGGAAGGACACAGGGCGCTGAGACAGTCACCCAAAACTTACACCAACCCTGAGCTTACAGAGAACATGCGGACAGTGGAGCGTGGCACACAGGTCTCTCTGCTCCCCACACGCAGGAACACAGACACAGGGGGTCAGAAGCAGACCCTACAAGACAAGAGACGCCACCCAAAGCCACCCACAGGGCAGGCTGGGGCTGCACCTGAAGTACGTGCTAAGAGAATGCGTTCCTGCAGTGACAAAGGGAGGCTGCAGAGCACAGTAACAAAGCAGTTAGAATATTTACCCAAGTGTGACAAGTCCAGGGAGATAGTTAAAGCAGAGGAGCTGAGTGATCTTCAGTCACAGACTAGTAACATCTCGTCAACTGGCAAGTCAGGGCTCATTCTAAGGAGAGGTGTAAATGCCAGTAAAAGAGAAACTTCCCTGATCACCAAAAGGCCCCTTCCAAGAACAGCATGTTCCCAAGACTTTAAATCATCAAAATCTGGAAATCGTCTACTTAATGAGCTGAAGTTTAATGTAGAGAGCAGGAAGAAGAGCCAGTCTCAGGGCCCTCCCACTAATGTGTCTCTTGCCTCCAAGAACTTGAAAACCCAGACCTTACTCCATCATGACCAGAGTGCCTCCGGTGGGGACATGACGGTTTCCCAGGTGATGCATGCTCACTTGGACATCACAAAATCCCACCTGGAGCAGCAGCAAGCGCCCTGGTTCCCTAAACAAGTCTTATGCAAACACCAAGACAGGAAATTCCCTCCAGAATCAAAAAGAGAGCGTCCTTTGACACTCAAAACAGGAGACCTCAGTGGAGGGGATGCCAGGCTCGACACACACCAGCACAGAAGACGCCGTCCAGACCGAGACAGGACACTAGAAAAGACTCTCGGGGGCAAATCTTCCCAAGCCCTGTCACCGAGAGGAGAGCCCCCTCCTGAAAATCTCTTCAGAAACAAGATGAAACACTTTTTCAAATGGATTTGTCCTAGTGTGAAACCAGAGGCCAAGAAAGCCCCTCAAAAAGGCCAGCTCCTGATTGCCCTTGGCACAGAAAGGGCCCAGTTAGAGGGGGAACTGGCTTTATTGAGAACACCAAAGACTAGAAAGTTGCCACAACCTTGGCAAAAGTCTTTTACTAGAATTTGCAGGAAGGATATTTTGTTCCCCTAAAATAATTCCTTCTGTGTTGAAAATATGGATGGCCCCCAATAAATGTCCTAAAAAAGTGATATCTTTTTGTGTGCTCTGTGGGGAACACAGGTTTCAGGTAATTAGGGATGGAGCTTGTGGAAAGGGATAAATATAGTTCCCCCCAGTTGCCCCTTTGGCTTCTAAAAGGTGACCAGTTCCCTGGAACTCTTGTTGAATAGATATCACACGTCCCCAAAAGAGCCTCCTGTGAGAAAATGGCTGTGCTTCCTGCCCCTAGCTTAGTCTCCAAGACGTCGTGTGGCCACGCATACCATCCTCCTCATTCATTGCAGTGAGGAAGACAGGTCTTCTGTACCTCAGGGAGGGTCCAAAACAGGTAAGGTTTTGAGAATAGAGTGGATTAGGTATTTTCAGAGACCTTTGTCTGTGACCACAGCTCACACAGGAGGGTGACCTTGCTTAGTGTTTGGGGGATGGTCCTGTTCGGTATTCCAGGGGTTGGGTCGGGTCTCCTGTGAGGTGTGTGCTAATGTTTCAGAAACATGCTTTGTTTTGCCTTGCCATTGATTTACCCTCCAGTAAATCACCTAAAGAAAGTGTTTTCCCTATCCTGGTTATTTCTTTTGGTTGCCTGGACTGACATTTTCACCTAGCTGTCAATGGTGGTGACATTTTACTCTCCAGGTAAAATAAAGCTGGGAGTAAGGAAAAGATATCCTAGAGAGGATAGGACAGCAAGAAAACATGCACAGGGAAAGAATGACCCTGCTGGAGAATAAAGGTTTATGCTCCATCATCCACATTTCATGACCTGGTACTGCTCCTGCTATTTTCTGATATGATCCAGTCAGCACTTCCTTGAGGCTGATCAGAGGACCACAGAGCCCACTGTCCCACCAGCAGAAGTGTACATGGGGCTTTCTTTGAGCACTAAATATTTGCAGGGCTGTCATCAGTCATAGCCTCTCTCCCTTTAGTGAAGATGAACTCAGTGCCTTCCATCTGTTCTTGATGACAACATGCAGGGTCTTGTGTGTGCAGTTCGCCCATCAGAGTGGACATGCCACTCTGAGCTTTATGGCATTGGCGGAGAGTCATGGCAGGTCTTTCCCAGATCACTTGCAGCTCATGTTCCAGCACCAGGGATACAGATATTTGTGGATTTCCTATGTGCCTATGCCAAGCACTCTCTGGCCAAGACTGACACATACCTACTGTAGAAACAGTGGTCTTTTGGGATGGCAACTATATTTGTCTCTTTCCCACTGTTGAGAATAATGCCTGACACCCACAAGCTAAAGGAGGAGAAGCTTATTTGGCTCAGTTTCACTGGGTTCATTCTAAAGCTGGCTGGCTCCAAGGCCAAAGCATGTGGTGGAAGGGCATGATGGAGGAAAATCACTCAGCCCATGGCAGCCTGGAAGCAGAGAGAGAGGGGACAAGAACATACCCCTCCAGGTCATGGCTCACATCCAGCCAGACCACCACCTGAAAGCACATTCAGCTGCTGAACTCATCAGTCCACAGGTGAATACAGGGCCCCCTGATCCAATCACCATATACACACATGAGAGTTTAGTGGGACCTTTTAGATCTAAACCACAGCAGGAACTCTGTACATACAGGGACTAATAAATGGTTTGAATTTCCCAGAAGGTTTCCCAGAAGTGGTTTTTCCATGAAAAACTTAATGCTGGGTGTCAAAATAAAAACAGAAAAATATATGTCCACTCTAGCCCCCTCATTGTACCATAGCTGCTGTTGTCCAGGTTCATGCCACTGACTGCAGTATCTAAAGCTTAGTGTTGTAGTTAGAAAGCAGACTCTCCAGGGCTCTGGAAAAGACAAAACATGGGAGAGTTGTAGGGCAAGAAGCCGGCAGAGGTGAGGAATTGTTGAGGACCCAATGTCTATGGTGACAGAGTTGCCAATAACCTGGCCTCTAAATTCTCAGTTGTGCACCTTTGGGCTTTTTCCTGCCATTCTAGTTCACTCACTGCCACATCTTAGTATGTTATCACCAGGACCCCTGTGCCATTGGGGTCATGCACTTCTTCCCATCCTCCCAGCGTGCATGCAGTTTGCCATGTTTCAACTCTAGGTCACTCTCCATTCATCTACCCACCTAGTTCTGTCTGTAGTTTTCTCCCTTCAAGTTTTCTTAGGCAACCAACGAACATTTGAAGAAAAGCTCAAGTCCAAATATGTCTATTTCACTCTCCATCAATCCTATCTGGTAACAATCCCATCTCTTTGTCTTTCTACAAATGTCTTCTAATCACACTATTGGACTACTTAAGTCTTGTAAGTCAACTAAATTCATGATCAGCACCAGCAGTAACTGGAAATAATTCACTTATTCCACAATAATCATCCCGTGCCTATTCTCAGTGAGCAAAGTTCATGGAACTGAGGTTACTGCTCACATAGATTTTAATCTCCCTGCACTTTCCTCAGAATGAGGCTATCTTTACTCGCTCAGATGTTGTCCTGGACTCACTATTCACAAAGGAAAATGAAGCCATCAGATAAGAACTTGACATAAACCTTCAGAAAAACTACATTGAGGCCTCTTTCCCTCATTTCTTTCCTGGTCCCAACCTGAAACATATGACATTCTTGAAATGTCTTTCTGGAGGGACATCTGACTTCTAGACCAGCCCTCGCCAGTCATCCTCTGCAGCCTTTCCCTCTCCACACACAAGCAAGTTGGCATTTTTGCTTTCAAAAAGCTTTTTATTACAAAAATGTTTAAGCATATTTAGAGCAGATAGAACTGTGTAACTCCCCATGTATCTTCATCTCAACTTGCACAAGGTAGGGTGCTCCATCTTTTACACTATGCTATAAAGGGCAAAGACCATCACTCTTTCATAATTTGTCCATTACCATTTAGACCTAGATTATGTGTTAAAGGACTGGGCACCAGCCTGTGGTGGTCTTAGGAGATGGTGGGAAAATTAGGAGGAGGGGTCTGGTGGAAGTTACACCCTTGCGGACAGGTCCTTGAAGGGGATATTAGGAACCTGGCCCCTCGGGATAGATATACAACTATTAAAAATTAAAAAAATATTTTTTATTAAAAATATATTAAAAATTATGAACTATAGACACTCGAGGAATTGTATGTATATTATGTGAACTGTTCCAATAAAACTTAAAAAAAGATTTAAAAATTATGGTGCTTGAGGATGATAAGAATAGGAAAGATGATGACAAAAAGGATGAACACATTTTTGGAAAATGAAAATCTGTGGAGGAGAGGTAAGCGACGTAGCAAAGCAGACTGAGCACCTGCAAACCACCTTCTCCCACAAACCTCTGGAAGACACGTGACCCAGTGACGCTGAGACAGCAACTAGAATGCCGGTGTTACCTGCTGTAAATGTGGTTCCTTGAGACTTGGCCATTTTCTTCTACATTGTGTGTCCTTAAGAAAAAATGGGGAGGAATTTTCCAGGATTTAGTAAAACCCTGCTGCAATGTTAGGTGCTTGCATTGTGAAAGAGGATCAAAGCTGGTGTTGAGCACTCATGAGGGTTGAGTGTGGTGGGGGCAGCTGCGGGAATAAAATGAAAAACTTCAAATATTAGAGCTCAGTACAACACAGTAGTCCATTTAGAAATGTATTTTCAATGAAACTTGTTGAAAAGTTGTACGAGTGCTATGCAATAGTATACATTTTTCCAGATTTACCTATTGTTAATATTTTGACATTTTTGCAATCTTTTTTCTTCCTCTCCATGTCTGTCCACACATACACAAAAGTGCATTTTTTACTGAATGTGTTATTTATGTACATGTACGTGTTAGAGATCATGTACTATTTTCTTGAATATTTCATTGTACACTAAGACACTTTTGGCAGGATCATTTTAAATGAAATAAACCAGACCTGTAAGTCAACTGTTGCATGTTTTCCCTAATACATGCAATCTTAAAAAGATTACATGACAATAAAAAGGACGCTATTATTACACAAGAGGGCAGTAATAAGGAGGAAGGGGAAAGGACATGTTAAAGAAGGTAATAGGAGGATGGATGTGACCAAAATATCTTATAGGCATGTATGAAAATACCACATTGAAATCCAATATTTTATAAAATTAACTGAATTAATAAAATACACAAAAGTTTTGTTATATACTCAATTATCTTAATCAGTGAACTTAATGCTGGCATAAAACTTTTGACTAATCTCATTAATATTCCATTTTTGTCAATTTATCCAGTAGTATACTTGTGCTTTTTAAAAATTCCTTTTCAGAGGATGCAGTCTGGAATCTCATATTACATTTAGTTTTCATGTGTCTTAGCTTCCTTTACTCTAAAAGAGTTTCTCAGTCTTTGTTAGCCAGTGGTCCATTTTATGGTCCCCATCTCACCTGGACATTTTCTGATGGAGCTTGCTCATATGTTAATGAATGCTTCTATATTTGCAAGTCTTAGAAACTTCAGCAAATCAGGGCCAGATTTGCTGCAAACAAAATTGAAACCAGCACTGCAAGGCTATACAGAGAGATTTTTCTGAAGAGAAAGGTGAATAGATGGAAGGAAGGGGTCCTTGTTTAGAGAAGAGATAAAGGGGACATTTTGGATGCAGGAGAAGACAAGCAAAGAAAGTGGTATCCCTGCAGGTGAGCCATCATCATATGGAAAGGAAAGGATGGGGTGGTCTGGAGCTGCAGCAGATGCATAGGTGAGGGAACATGGTGAGCAGCATCAGGACCTAAGTTTAACTGTGTATAAACCACATAATGAAGCATTAGGGAGTATCTCAGTTACAAGGCGGCCTCACAAGGGGAGAAAAACAAGCACAGTATATACTATCCACAAAAATGACATCTTGCTTAGGTTGATTCCTAGGCATTTAAAGTTTTTGAAGCTTTTATCAGGTAGCCTACTTCCAAAAGTGCCTCAGCAAATAGCATTTACTGGGTTCCAGGTTGCTTGCCTCTCCTTCTGGAGTTAGATTTCAGGTTCTTCTCATCTCATACAAAGAATTGGATGAGACAAGCTAAAAATGGTCCCAAAATTTTGTGAAAAGTGAGGGGTGAAGGGGAAGGAAGAA